TTTGTTTGTCAACACCCCCCCCTCCCCCTCCCCCTCTCCAAATACAATTTTTGGGGGGCCTTTATGCTAATAAAAGATTATACACTCACAACATGCAATTTATTGCTTTAAATCATCATTGTATTATATTTCATACAAGACAATGGGACAGAAAGCATTATAGGCCCACTTTTTCTCCATTGAACAGCCTGTCCTCCTGCACGCACAGCATGTCTGTGAGCACAAGCGTTCACTACTGTTACGCATGGACAACTCTTGCTCAACTCTTTTTTATGCAGCAGGATTGTGCCATCTTCCTTTAACTATGTCAGCTGGAAAAGGTGACCCCCTTGACTTAGGCCGAGTGGACCTGTGTGTGTCTGGATAAGCTTTTGCCATTTTATTACAGATCATTCATGCAATGGAGCGGAAAACAGGTCAAGCAGTCATTAACCATACCGCTCTTTAAATGACTCTTGGTATCATTGTACATGCAGAAGTCTATTGGCCAAGTCTTGTTTATCAGTGCGTACAAAGAGGAAGAGACGCACTCAAGACTCTGTACTACAGTGATAAAAAACGATAAGGAGGGAATGATTGCTGAGGAAGCAAAATATCATATGATTACAGTGCAGGTGTATTATGATTTCTTGCAGCATTTCATTTACTCACATTCATGTCATTCCAAACCTGAATGACTTTCTTTCTTCAATGGAATACAAAAATGATATATTTGGAAGAATATGCTGGTTGTGCTTTTACATAAATTCACATTTACAGTACAATGAATGGGGACTGAAGCTTTTAAGGACACAAAGCCAACATAAATGTATTATGAAAGCAGCGAATCCATCTTGTGCACTATATTCCAAGTTCCAAAATATTCCAAAATTTGGACACATTATAATTTTAAAATGTTTTTAATGAAGTTGCTCACCAAGGCTGCATTTATTTGATCAAAAATACAGTAAAAACTCTAATACTGTGAAATATTATTAAAGTTTGAAATAACTATTTTCTATTTTAATATATTTTAAAATGAAATTTATTCCTGGGCTGCAAAGCTGAATTTTCAGCATCATTACTCCAGTCTTCAGTGTCACATGCTCCTTTCAGAAATCCTTCTAATATGCTGATTTGCTGCTTAATTATTACTGATGCTCAGTTACTAATAATGATTCGTATTATTATCAATGTTAAAAAAAGGTTTTGCTGCTTAATATTTTGTGGAAATACTAAGGCTGTTATTTGATATTACACTTGAAGTAATGTTTAAAATTTCTAAAATTGCAACTTCATCATTACAAATGTGCAATTACAAAATAGATGACATACCTGTTTCAATAGAAATGACATTAAAGTATATTTTAGTTTACCATAAATGCTTGTCATTACATTGGGCAGTACACTTTAACCATATTTCAAAAACAATGTAATTATGAAGTTACATATAAAAATGTACTGACGTCCTACATAAGTGGGTCAGAAAAGCATTTAACATAAATTTAAACTATAATACATATTCATTGAATTTTAAATAACATGAAAACATTACATTCAGTTCACACTTAAGTATATTCCTTTAAAGTATATTACTTTTTATGAGTATGCTAATGTGTACTTCTTGGAAGTACATCTCACCGTCTGACAGAAGAAATAAAGTTTTACAGGTTTAGCATGACATGAGGGTGCAAATAATGCAAGAAGTTTTGGGACAGAACAGCGCTGTGTGGCACACGTCCAACCTGTAACCTTCAGTAAGGAGTGAAAAACATTGATAAGGATGTTTGTGCAGTCTGTGATGTAACGGGCCGGACAGATTCTCCAGGCCACAAGCCGCATAAACAAAATGTTCTGAACTTTGACCTACTACGCCCGTCACAAACCCTTACAGAAGAACAAAATTTAAACATGTTAAGAGGTTAGAGAAAAGTAGGCAATGCAAGTTAATATTTAAAAGCAGGCCTCAGAAGGGAAAATTAACCACTATGGATGTTTTTCAGAAAAAAAAGTTTGTGTCCATAGATGTTTTTTTTTATAATGAACATAAACATTTTAAACAAACTACACAATGCAAAGAAAAACTCTTGTGTTCTAAATAAATTGAATACATTTTTAAAACCCACTTTTTCAATACAATGCATTAATTTCTTTTCTCACACACGGAAAAATGGTGCATATTACTTTGAAACACTTTCACTCTGAAATTACTATTACATTTCAGATTTAAACTAAAGAAACTGCAAGTAACAAATTAAATTAAACATTACATTTTAAAGGTTGAAATACTATTCTTGTAAAATGTACTTCAATAATCTTTTATTTATAAAAGATTTTTACAGTGCACTAAAGGGTTAGTTCACCCAAAAATAAAAATTCTGTCATTAATTACTCACCCTCGTGTTGTTCCAAACCCCTAAGACCTTCGTTCATCTTCGGAACACAATTTAAAGGGGTCATATGATGTGATTTCAATTTTTCCTTTCTCTTTGGAGTGTTACAAGCTCTTGGTGTATAAAGAAGATCTGTAAAGTTGCAAAGACTAAAGTCTCAAATCCAAAGAGATATTCTTTATAAAAGTTAAGAGTCAGCCACACCTACCTAAAACGGCTGGTTCTAACACGCCCCCACATATCTACATCACTATGTGGGAAGATTTGCATAACGCCGCCCATTTAAGATATTTTTGATGAAATCTGAGGGCTCGCTGACCCTCCCATAGACAGCAAGGTAACTACCACGTTCAAGGTCCAGAAATGTACCAAGATGATCGACAAAGTAGTCCGTGTGACATCAGTGGTTCAACTGTAAAGTTACGAAGCTAGGAGAATACTTGTTTGCACAAAGAAAACAAAAATAATGACTTTATTCCACATTTTCATCTCTACTGCGTAACTTGTGGACGCGTGTTCACGACAGTATCATGACGAGAGTGTGCGGCGAAGAGCCCTCATATTTCATCAAAAATATCTTAAATTGTGTTCCGAAGATGAACGACTGTCTTACGGGTTTCGAACAACACAAGGGTGAGTAATTAAAGACAGAATTTTCATTTTTGGGTGAACTAACCCTTAATGTAGGAAGCTCACTGGAACTGGAAAAATTAACAGATGCTTCGGTGATAAGTTTGACATGTATAAGTGAACCAGAAACAAACACCGCTCTAAACATTATTTCATTATGCAACATCATGTGCAGTTAAAGTAGTCAGTAAGTAAATCTGAAAGATATGCATGCATTAATTCAGACTGGTAACAGATAACTAAAAAAAAGTCTACCCTAGAGACAATATTCCATAATTAATAATTAGATACTTACCTGGCAGGGGAGACACCATGATAAAGAAGGTGGTTCACCCAGGGTGAGGCTCGGCCATTGTTGCACTCCGGTTGTGCTGACCCCTGCGAATTCCCCAAATGTGGGAATCTCGACTGCATAATTTATGGTAGTGGGGGACTGCGTTCGTGCTCTCCACTGAATTTGGGGGAAGTCGTGACCTAATGGTTGGCACCGAACCCCCAACTGCTCCCCGGGTGCCGCAGCAAAAAATGGCTGCCCACTGCTCCGGGTGTGTGCTCACGGTGTGTGTGTGTTCACTGCTGTGTGTGTGCACTTTGGGATAAATGCAGAGCACTAATTCCGAGTATGGGTCACCATACTTGGCCACATGTCACGTCACTTTCACTTTAAAGACATAAAAAGACACCATGAGATATCCTACATTTATTACTGCAAGTAAGCACTTATAATCTAAATATATGAAGTAATACAATATAATTGAAACATAATTTTTGGATATGTATCCAACAATTTTTTTTTTTTTTGAGAATTTTTTTTATGTTGCAACAATGAAACAAAATTGCCTGGATATAAAAGATGTTAACATTATTTATGTTTCTGATTTTAAAATATCCATTTGTAAGAAAAATATCTAATCTAATGTGAAAAATTTGCTGTTTGTTCATCTAAAGCCAGTTTTTGGTAGGATATTAATGTGTTGCTCCAAATATTACATAGATGAACGGTGCTATAAGTCTTATATCAGTTATACGTTTTGAGCTGAATGATCCCTTTAACAGCCGTCATGAACAATGTACAGAACCCAGCCATATGTACAGAGCATGACTGAGGGACCTTTGAACAGAAGATGTGAATGAAAGTTAGTTAGTGAATGGACCAGCCGCCTTTAAAACCATTCACAGATAACAAGATACGCAGGGAGCCGCCGTAATCTGAAGACTTGCCAACAACAAGCTCAAGTAATCTGGGAAAGGTCTGTTAAAGAGCTGATTACAGCCACATAAATTCATCATAGTCATCACAGGCAGGATGTATTCCAGAGGACGAACATCCTGAAACGCTCACAAATCAACTGTGTCTCATAATGCAGACCAACGTTTCATGTTCAAAAGTTTCTAAAAGACATATTGTATGGGGGGAAAAAAAGGCATTATTGCATTAAAAGGATGCAATTCTTGAAAATAAATTAAGAAGTTTTCCATAATATTTTATTATTTCTATAAAGTTATTATATTCTATAAGCTTATTGATATTTAAAAAAAATTGCCTGCCAAATGACTGTGTGTCAAGGTCAATAAACCTCTGCAAATATTAGATGATTACCAGAAAAATACCATTTATGAAACGGCAAGGTTAGTTCAGGCAGTAAAATGTCATGTGGTGCAACTCTCAAAAATGTATGAACTATTATTATTATTATTATTCTTTATTATTTATTATAAAAAAATAAAGATAAAATAAAAATATTTCCTTATTTTTTCATTACATGTTCACTTGCTTTATAAAATGTATTGCAGAACATTTTTCTAAAATATTTAAGAAATAGACCTTAAAAAGGTTGTTTTTTTTTCAACATGGACATTTGGCTTTCATAATGCTGACCAACTTTTCATATTCAATACTGTTTCTAAATAACATACTGCAGAAAAAAAAAATGCTTGATGAAAGTTTTTTTTCTCATCTTTTATTAATATACAATTTTTTATTTTAAAATTATTTTAACAAAACTGCTTCACTGCTTATTAATATTTGAAAATCAGCTGTCTGCAATGATTGTGTCAAAGTCAATAAGCCTAATCAAATATTAGATGATTACTAGAAAAATACCTTTTATGAAAAAGCAAAGTTAGTTGAGGTTGTGAAAGTCATGTGGTGCGACTCCCAAAAATGTAATTTTTATGAATTAAAGATAACAAAAAAACACATTAAATTTTTACAGTCATTATAAACATTAAAAAAAACTTAAAGATACAATTTTCTTAAACCAATATGAATAGAAAGTACATTTCAAAGAACTACATTTCTAAAAGATATTTTCTTTCTCTCTCTCTCTCTCTCTCTCTCTTTTTAAACGGATATATGGTCACAGGGCAGTTCAGAACTTTTTAAATGATAGTTTTGTAGCCACCCATCCTGTACATGCCATCTGAGGTATTTTATAAAGAGCGCACTGCAAAAAGTTTCCTAAACCACTGCATTTAACTTGAAAATCAGCACTACATGTCCTTTTCATGCTTGCTTTTTGATGAAATCCAACATATGACTCCAGGAACGAGTGCAGTGGGAAGCACCAAAGCCACAGTGCTCTTGCAGAATGACAGAAGGTAGAAAAGGAACTGGTTGCTTGAGGAAAACGTCATCTTGTCCAGGAGCTGCAGCAGCACCAATGACACACCAATACATCCTGTCCTGATAGAGACGCCGCTGCTGTGTTTCCGGCCTGCTGTTTCATTGTAGCCTGACAGGTGAAGACCAAGCCCCAGACCAAAAAGTGTGCCCATGTTCCTCAGCAGGCTGGCGAAGGGGGTGCTGTCCAAAAGGACCCAGTCTGGATTGATGCACCATTTCTGGGCCTTTGCTAATGTCCACAGCAGATCCACACCCACGGCTTTCAGAAGCACATAAAAACCCACCGCGAAAAAGAGCAGGTACAGAGTCACGCAGACGTACTTCTTCAGACTAGCGCTGTAGATCCACTGCACTCTGGAAAATATTTCTGCCACAATTATACCTGGAAATAAAAGACCAACTATGAAAGCACTGATGCACTATATAAAGTGAATATAGTTATGCTCATTTTTCAAAAATCGTTCTTTTTCAAATTGTAAATAAAACAGATTATTGTAGTACGTTTTACATGAAAAGTTATATTTCAGTCTTTCACTTCAAAATTTCAATGTTTAATGTTACTTGCTGTTTCTTTGTAATTATTTGTGAAATTTACAAGCAGTTAATGAGTATAAATGGTTTCAAAGTAAATCAAACACCAAATCTTTTTCAGATTAGCATGTTTTTAATTTCTGAATTAAAAGTATTTTTGATATTTATTTTGGGGGCCATAAAGGAAAAATAAATACATTAATAAATAAAAATAAAAAAACAAGTAAGAAAGAAAAGAAAAGAAAAGAAAAGAAAAAGAAATAAAAGAAACACCAAAATACTGTATTATTATTTGTAAGAAAATTATTTTAATAAACCTGCTTCATTCCTTAATAATATAAAAAAAATAAATAAAAAAAAAGTTCAGGTCAGGGTTATATTTAACTAAAACTAAAACCATTAAACAATTTTTTTACTGAAGTAAAATAAACATTAACTAAAATAAAATAAAACATAAAAACTTATACTAATTATATAATAATTATAATAATTAAATTTTCAACTTAGTCTAACTTGATGAACTGAAATAACTAGAACTGAAATACATTAATATAATACATTAAATACTACTACTAATAAAAAAACTATTAAAAAAATTATTAATAATAAAAAAAACTATAATAATAGTATCTCAACAATACGAATATATCACTAATTCTGGTTTTAAAATGTCATGTAGTGTGACTCCCAAAAATATATTAATTCATGATATTTGTATAAAAAATACATATCTTTTTATTTACTCTACATTAAAAATGTATTATAATGATTTTTGAAAATAGTGATTGAGATGTGTACACACATGTATTCAAGGCATACCATTTTTGTTTTTACCTAATGGTTACACTACATGACATTTTGACATTAGAAAGTTTTAAGAAGCTTTTCTTGAAAATGGTATACAAGTTTTTCTAAATTAGTAATTTCTAAAAAAATTGGACTTTTAATCAATTTTCCCTTTTTTGTATGTTGAACACTCTCATGCATCACTGAGCCACATATGAAAAAAAGAAGATACCTACCTGAAATAACGCCACTGATAACTTGGTGTGGGAAATGGGCTGCCAGATAGACTCTAGACATGCACACCAGTAACTCCACCAAACCCAGAAGCATCCAGAGCATCAGCTGCAAAAATCTGAATGCAGATGTTACACTTATTTTACCCAGCACTGGGTTGTATTTAACCCAGCATTTTTTAGTGTACTCTCAGGTGTGTTATATTAAAACAGTGGTTTTCTTTAGATGTCTCAGACTCACCTATAATGTAAAGGAGGTGGTCTTCTTTCAGCGACAATGGAAAGCACTGCTGTAACCATCACATACCCAACACCCGCAGAACCCATGGCGTGACCCGACGGGCTCCCTGACAGGCGAGAACCAAGCACGCATCGGTGAATACAGGGCAACGTTTAAACAAACATCAATTATAATTACAGACTAGAAAATATCAAATCAGAGATTGTGCGGGAAAGCAAATGTTGTTTGATTAGAGATACATCTGTTCAGGAGCCTAAACTGGTCTGCTGGTTTCTCAGGCTGGTTTTAGAGGAGTTTTGGACACTTGTCAGGCTGGGAGACCAGCTAAATCCAGCTTAAACAAGATAAGACCAGCAAACCAACTTTGGCAAAATACCAGCAGCCATTTAGATACAATATCAGTTCAGGACATGTCATTTATGGGCCTTTTTAATTGATCCAGGGTACTAATTCAGGTCAAGAATGAATGGATACTCGCCAACATGTGTAATATTAGTAGTAAGTAATACGTATGACTTCATTCAAAGGCGGCCCTTGATCTGGAACACTATGATAACCAGAGGCAGATCCGTTTCCACATAAAAGATTAGAACAGCTACCTTGCTTAAATTGCATAACTACCCGTCTACAGAGTAGCAGGTTTTATTTGGAGATAAAGTTGTAATTCATACACAGCATAATGAATGTGATAAGAAGGGCATGTAATGTTCAGTCAGTTGGGGGCTGTCACCTCAAAAGTTTATGCTACTTACCAAAAATAAATTAATAAACAGACATGAAATAATGATTTGTATTATGTGAGATATGAAGAGCCTGTAGAGTAAAAAGTCATTATAAAAAACCATTTGACCACAAAAAGCTGTGACAGACCCATCAAAATCAAATATTTCAGATAGTTGTGTAATATACCTGGTCCAGTTTCACACGTGATGGAGAATTGCTGCAGTTCAGGATGTTTTATAGGGCTATAAAACTTAGTCTCATGCACCCACCAGTACGGCCTCTCACCGAATAGCACCCTATGAATATATCATCAAATAATATGGAAATGCATCATTAAAAATCATTTAAATCATTCGTTTAATTGTAGAGGAAAGAAAACATGCAGCATAATAATTCATTTAAATTAAATAATATAATATAATGTAAAACATACTTTTTTCTTCACCTTGAAATGTCTTTTTTTTTTACAGTGTAATAAATTGGATGAATTGCATTATCAGAAATATTATAAATTCAATTATCAAGTTATTTCTATTCATTTTAAACATTAATATTTCAATTATTTTTCATTAAGTAAATATTATTTAATTCATTATAAATCATTAAACTGTGTCCTATGTTTTCCTTGTGCTGCAATATTTAATTTATAATATTTCTGATAATTCAGCAATATTAATTAAAAAGTTATTTTTATTAATATTAAAAATATTAATATTTAAGTTATTACATAAATATTATTTAATTAAATAATTGTGTTCTATGTTTTCTTTGTGCTGCAGTATTTAATTGATAATATTTCTGATAATGCACCCATTTATTACACTGTAAAAATTATTTTTTTAAGTTGTAAATAAAACCCACATTATTGGAGTATGTTTTACAAGAAAATACGATTTCAGTCTTTCTACTTCAAAATTGCATGTGTCATTCCACGTGTTACTTGCCATTACTTAATATTATTTGTGAAGTTAACTAGCAATTTCTGAGTGCAAATTGGTTCCAAGTCATTTTTTGCTTATTTCTAGCTCAGAGATTAACAATACACAAGCCGATGAGTATCTCACCACTTCAGCACGAGGTTGAGCCAGTCTCCAAGCACAGCCACCCAGATGAGTTTAACGCCTATGTCTCTGTGCAGATGAAACCAAATGGGAAAAAACACAAAGAAGGTGGTGTGGAGATCGGCCACAGAGGACACCCACTGAAACAGATTCTCATAGTCCCGGTACTCCGTCTGCAAATGGACGGCTAGGTTCACTCCCCAGCTGTGGAGCAGGTCCATCTCTGCAGTCTGAGATCGGGACGGTCAGCCTGGAAAAGTGGAGGACGGACACAGGGCACAGGAATGAGGATCAAACTGCAGAAACGAAGGCAGCCCGCCAGGCTTCATCCAACTGTCGGACCCCGGTTTTCTTTTCTAGTTGGACTTTATTCAAGGCTAGATGGATTGGTTTTGTTTGCATGTTGACTGGAGAACTCAGAGGCCCTCAATTTCAGGACCTTTCACCTGTGATGACGCTGATGGGACGTATGCTGATAAAATGGACAGACTGATTAGTTTTGTCTTTGGTTTCATGAAGTGTGATGTCACTGTGATGACATTTTGAAATGATGCATTTAATATAAATATTCTTTTTTAATGGTTCTGTCTGGCTTGTGATCATTTGTCAATCTGCAAATGGGAAAAAGAGTGAGCCATACTGTTCTGTATGACAAATTCATTGATCCATTTGTGTTCTGACTTGTGACATTTTGGTTTGGTGTACTTCTTACAAAAAGATGCTTTAAGTACATTGGGCTTCACTTATGCATAATATAAGCATATTTATGAAGTATAATATACTTTAAAAGAATATACTTGCATACAATTAGAATGTAATGCTTTTGGAAACTTTTTTGCATGTTGTTTACAATTAAAAGGAAATGTATAATAAGTTACATTTATATTAGATGCAATTAGTTGAATTTAAGAGTGTTTTTATGACCCACCTAAATAGGACTTAAAGGGGTCATATGATGCGATTTCAAGTTTTCCTTTCTCTTTGGAGTGTTACAAGCTGATCCAAAGAGATATTCTTTATCAAAGTTAAGACTGCCACGCCCCCCTAAAACGGCTCGTTCTAACACGCCCCCACATATCTACCTCACTATGTGGAAATATTTGCATAATGCCGCCCAAATGTGCACGCAAAGAAAGAAGGCGTGGTTTCAGTAACCGCAGTTAGTGTTGAAGCAGCCATGTCAGGGAGACGCTGTGTGTTTCTAGACGAAAGCAAAAGCACTTTATTTGGCCTACCAGAAGTAGATGCATTTAGGAATCTTTAAAATTACTTACAACAGAACAGCAATGCATTTTATGGACGACCGTTTCGTGAACCTAGGAGAGGAGGTAATTCTGACTTTGCTATGACAATCTGGCGCTTCTGAATCAACTACTGTTTTGTTATTAGTTTAAGTATTTGCTACTGGCTGTTCAAATGCGGAGTTTTGCGCATCATGTGTGTGTGTGTGTGTATGTGTGTGTGCGCGCGTGTGTGTGTGGGAGAGAGAGAGAGAGAGAGAGAGAGAG